ATCACTGATTTCCCTTCACTTTCCTCTTTTTCCCATTGAATGAGAACCCAGGATTTCTCACCAGCTTTGTCTGTAGTTGCTGTTTTGTGCTGGTAAAACATCACACACAAATGATCACAGCAGCACTATTCACAATAGCCAAAAGAACAACACAGATGTCCGCCAACTGGATAAACAAACTGTGGTCTATCCACCCACTGGAATATTATTCAGTCATAACACATGCTACAACATGGATAAACCTGGAAGACATTATGTTGCATGAAAGGAGGCAGTCACAAAAGATACATATCGTACAATCCCATTTACATGAACTATCCAGAACTGGTAAATCTATAGAGACAGAAAGAAAATTGGAGGATACCAGGGGCTGGAGGAAGTGACTGCTCAATGGGTATGGAGTTTTCTTTTGGGGTGATGAAAATGTTTTGGAACTAGATAGAGGTGGTGGTTGCACAGCATGAATGGACTAAATGCCACTGAGTTGATTGCTTTAAGATGGTTTTTGTGTGTGTGTATATGTGTATGTGTCAGAGTCTCACCCTGTTGCCCAAGCTGGAGTGTGTGATCCCAGCACACTGAAGCTTTGACCTCCTGGGCTCAGGCAACCCTTCTGCCTCAGCCTCCCAAGTAGTTGGACTACAGGCACATGCCACCATGCCTGGCTAATTTTTTTTATTTTCTGTAGAGAAAAGGTCTTGCCATGTTGTTCAGGCTGGTCTTGAACTCCTGGGCTCAAGTGATCCTCCCGCTTCGGCCTCCCGAAGTACTGGGATTACAGGCATGAGTCACCAAACCAGACCAAAAGGGTTAATTTGACATTATGTGGATTTCAAGTCAGTTTCTAAAAATGCCACAGACCCTCTGCCCAATCCTGCTCACTCGACACCCACCCTCGTCTGGCATTCTTTGGACAGGGCTTTTATCCTGATGGTCTAGAACTGAAAGAGAAATGCCTTCCTTATTACCTGTGACTTCAGGGGTCCTGAAGAAACAGCTACGTATTGCCCGATCACTCAGGACTGAGTCAGTCCCAGCACCTTCTAGCTGTGTGACATGGGCCCCAAAACATAACTGGGAAGCCTCCAGCTTCGTCATCTACGTATTTGTGCAGGGTTGAGGGGTGATGAGGTAAAGGAAGAAGGAATAAAGCAGAGCGAGCTCATTGTAGTAGCCAGCTGAGGTATAGAACAGGATCATTTTTATACTCAAAGCTCCACTGGGGCAAAAAATAAAAAAATCTTGTTCTACCCTACAGCTGTAACTTTCTGTCCACCAGGGGGAGACTTCTGAAGGAACCCACCATCTCCCCCGGTGTAGTAGTGTCAGTTTTTGCAATGATTTGACAGCTAACTCTGCTGGATTTCTCCCTCAGGACTGTTGAGTATCCTGGTTAATGGCTTTACCACGGAAAGCTCTGCATTTTTAAACTCTAAACCAGGAGTCAGCAAACTTTTTCTGTAAGAGGCAAGAAAGTAAATATTTTAGGCTTTGCCAACCAGACTTTATTTACAAAAACAGGTTGTGGGCCAGATTATTTACAAAAACAGGTTGTGGGCCAGATTCATTTCCTGCTCTCTGTTTTTGTATAACCCTAGAGTTAAGAATGGTTTTTACCTTTGTTTTTTCTTGAGTTGGGGTCTCATTCTGTTGCCCAGGTAGGAGTGCAGTGGCATGATCATGGCTCACCCACCTAGCCTCAACCTCCTGGGCTCAGGTGATCCCTCCATCTCAGCCTCCCAAGCAACTGGGATTACGGGCGCCTGCCATCACATCCAGCTGATTTTTTTTTTTTGAATTAGAGTCTCACTCTGTCACCCAGACTAGAGTGCAGTGGCCGCTCCTGGCCACCACAGCCTTGACCTGCTGGGCTCTGGCGATCCTTCTGCCTCAGCCTTCCAAGTAGCTGGAAATACAGGTGCTCATTACCATGCCCGGCTAATTTTTTTGATTTATTATAGAGATGAGGTCTCGCCAAGTTGCCCAGGCGGGTCTCGAACCCACGGGCTCAGGCAATCCACTCACCTCAACCTCCCAAAGGCACGAGATTACAGGCTGAGCCACCAAGCCCAGCTACATCCAGCTGATTTTTAAATTTTGTCTTTGTAGAGATGATACCTCGCTATGTTGTCCAGGCTAGTCTCAGACTCTTGGGGCTCAAGTAGTCCTCCTCCTGCCTTGGCCTCCCAAAGTGCTGGGATTACAGGCATGAGCCACCGTGCCCAGCCAGTTTTTTACATTTTTAGATGGTTGATTTGGAAAAAAAAAAAGGAATATGTAACATGTGAAAATTAAATAAAATTTACATTTCACTGTCCATAAATAAAGTTTTATTGGAACAATGCATGTTCATTCATTATGTATTAGCTGTGGCTGCTTCTGAGCTACAATGGAGTGTTGAGTGATTGTGACTGAGAGGATAGATCCACAATGCCTAAAAATATTTATCATCTTGCCCTTGAAGAAAATTGTGGGAATTACAGATTAAGATGGCCAACTAGAGACAGCTAGAGTGTGTTTCTTCTACAGAGTAAACCGAGATGGAGAGTTTTCTCGGCATCCAGAGAGAAGCAGGACCAGCAGTGGGCCCCATGCCTCATCAAAGAAGTGATAATAGCCACATAGTACAAAGAAGAGAAAAAGCAGTTGACATGTGTTGTAACTAGCCAGACTCTTGGCCAGACTCAAACCAATAACCCAATTCCATTTACAATAGCAGCCAAAAAGCTAAAATACCTAGAAATATATTTAACCAAGGAGGTAAAAAGTCTCTTCAAGGAGGATTACAAAACACTGATGAGATTGTAGAGAACTCAAATAAATGAAGAAACAGCCCATGCTCATGGATTGGAAGAATCAACATTGTTAAAATGACCATATTACTCAGAGTAATCTATAGATCCAATGGAGTCCCTATCAAGCTACCAACATCATTTTTCACAGAGTTAGAAAAAAAAAAATCCTAAAATTCATATGAAATCAAAAAAGAGCCAGAAGAGTCAAACACTTATAAGCAAAAAGAACAAAGCTGGAGGATCATATTACCTGACTTCAAATTATACTGCAAGGCAGTAGTAACTAAAACAGTATGGTAGTGGTACAAGAGCAGACACATGAACCAATAGAACAGAATAGAAAATCCAGAAATAAACCCAAATACCTATAACCAACTGATCTTTGACAAAGCAGACACAAACATACACTGGGAAAAGGACACCTCACTCAACAAATGGTGCTGGGAAAATAGTTACAGGCAGAAGAATGAAACTTGATCCCTATCTCTCCCCATATACAAAAATCAACTCAAGGTGGATTAAAGACCTAAATGTCAGACCTGAAACCATACAAATCCCAGAAGAAAATCTAGAAAAAACTCTTCTGGACATTGGCCCAGGCAAAGATTTTATGGCTAAAACTCCAAAAGCAAATGCAACAAAAACAAAAATAAATAAGTGGGATTAATGAAACTAAAAAGTTTTGTACAGCAAATAGGCAACCTACAGAATGGGAGAGGATATTTATAAGCTATATAGCTGACAAAGGATTAATATCCAGAATCTACAAATAACTCAAATCAACAAGAAAAAAACAAATGACCCCATTGAAAGGTGGGCAAATGACATGAACAGACATCTGTCAAAAGAAGAGATACAAATGGTCAAAACATATGGAAAAATGCTCAATATCACTCATCATCAGGGAAATACCAATTAAAGCCACAATGAGAAACCATCGTACACCAGTCAGAATGATCATTCTTAAAAAAAAAAAAATTGAAGCTGGTGCAGATGTAGTGAAAACGGAACGTTTATGCACTGTTGGTGGGATTGTAAATTAGTACAACCTCCATGGAAAAAGGTACGGAGACTTCTCAAAGAACTGAAAGTAGATGTACCAGTTGACCCAGCCATCCCATTGCTAGGTATCCACCCAAAGGGACAGAGATGGTTGTATACCTGTTCTCACATGTTCACTGCAGCACAATTCACAATTGCAAAGATGTGGAATCAACCTACATGTCTATCAACAGTGGATTATCAATGGACATCTGTGTCTATCAACGGTCTATTATCAGTGGATAATAAGAATGTGGCCTATATACTCTATGGAATAGTACTCAGCCATGAAAAAGAGTGAAATAACACCTTTTGCAGCCACTTGGATAGAATTGGAGAACATCATCCTAAGTAAACTAACGCAGGAACAGAAAACCAAACACCGCATGTTCTCACAAGTGGGAGCAAAACTAAGGATCTGCAAAGGCATAGAGAATGGTATGACTGACACTGAAGACTCAGAAGGGGGAGGAGGAAAAGGGTGAAGGGAAGAAAAATCGCCTATCAGGTACAATGTGCCCAGGTAGAGGTGGGGAGTATACTTAAAACCCAGACTTCTTTGCCCCTATACAACGTAACCATGTTACCAAAACTATTTTTGTACTCCCTAAAGCTATTGAAATAAAAAAGTATATATATATACTTTAAAAAAGAAATTAAAAAAAAAAGTTGCTGACCCTAGCTCTAAACAAATAATGTTAGTGATGAAAATCACCCATGAGCCATGTTTGTGGTCCTGAGTATCAGTTTAATTATTTTATGGATATAGAGGGATATTCTGCATACTCATCTACAAAATGAGAGTAACAGCACTATTTCATGAGGCTGTGAAGATGAAATGACTTAGGATATAAAAAACAGCTAGTCAGCTGGGCGTGGTAGCGCATGCCTGTAATTCCAGCTACTCGGAAGGCTGAGGCGGAAGGATCGCCGGAGCCCAGCAGGCCAAGGCTGCGGTGGCCGGGAGCGGCCACTGCACTCCAGTCTGGGCAACAGAGTGAGACTCCAACTCAAAAAAAAAAAAAAAGCAGCTAGAACAGTACCTAGCATTATAAGCACTCAAGACATGTGGATTCTAATTATATACAGATTTGTTAATGCATAGACATGAATTCAAATAAATCCAGAAAACAAAGACGAATTCAAATAAATCCAGAAAACAAAGACTCCTTCCCTCCAACTTTATTTTGGACTGTGCTGGAAACTGCTTGAAATGTCCCTTTAATAGCTTCTTGGCCTCACCAGTATTGGGTGACATGACAAATGCTCCTTCACAGAAGGTACGGGAAGCAACAGGAGGGGCATCTTGGATCCTTCCCTCTTCAGAAAGCGCGATCGCATCAAGGTGCATCTGGTTTTCAGCAGAACTGGCCCATATTTCTAGGGAGTGAGGTGTCCAAACCACTGTTCATCCATATTTCCTGAATGATTTGCTCCCTGCGCTCAATCCTTTCTGCCAGCTCCGCAGCCTCTATGGAACTGTAGGCAGGATATGAAGTCCTACAAAACCCAGACAGTTCCCCTGGAAAATCAGAGTCAGAGGAGTCCTCCTCCTCTGCTTCATCCTCGTTGTCCTCCTCGGTCTTGTCACTTCCTGGCACCAGGTGCTCCCTCCCCTGCTGCAGCTCCTGGAAGTCCTTGGCACAGGACACTTTGATGACCAAGGCGCACAATGTGAGGAGCAGGCCGATGCAGACACTGGACACGAACAGCAGGGCGGCACGCTCCGGGTGGGCTGCAGGAGGAAGAGAATAGTCAGGAGCTGGGAGGATGGTCAGTCCTTACCAGTTCAAAGTCTCACAGAAACCGATGTCTGCTCACATAGGAGACTGCTGAAGAATGCCAGTCCAGCATCTTTGAGAGCATCCACACCTAACCGGCCATATAGCCTATAGCCCCATGGATTTTTTGAGAAAGTTTTGGAGTATATGTAGTCAATATATGTATGTATATGAGAAAACCTCATAGCAGAGGGACTTCACAGTCAGACTCCTCTGAGCTCAAACTCAGATCTGCCACTCACCAGCTGTGTGACTTTGGACAAATCACATAACCTCCCTGTGCCTTAGTTTCCTCATCTGTACAATGGAGCTCATAGTACCTTCTTATTATAGAGCTGTTATAAGGAAACGAGTTAATTCTTATAGAGCTCTTAGAATACTCAATGACACATAGTAAATGCTCAATAAAGTGATAGCTGTTAGTCGATTATTTGCTCCCTGCAAATAATTTATGCATGAAGTATACATGTGAAAATAATAATACCCTGTAATCCCGTGCCTTTGGGAGGCTGAGGTGAGTGGACTGCCTGAGCCCGCAGGTTCGAGACCCACGTGGGCAGTGAGACCTCATCTCTACAATAAATAAAAAAATCACCCGGGTGTGGTAGCGCATGCCTGTAATTCCAGCTACTTGGAAGGCTGAGGCGGAAGGATCGCCGGAGCCCAGCAGGTCGAGGCTGCGGTGGCTGGGAGCGACCACTGCACTCCAGTCTGGGCTACAGAGTGAGACTCCAACTCAAAAAAAAAAAAAAGAAAAGAAAAGAAAATAATAATACAATAGATGTTAGCCAAAGGTAATCCCATTTTTTTTTTAGATTAAAAAATAAATATAAATATAGAGTCATCCCTTAGTATCTGTGAGGGATTGGTTCTGGGAGCCCCATGGATACCAAAATCCATGAATGCTAAAGTCCCTTATATAAAATGATGAAGTATTTGTATATGACCTACACAGCTCTCCTATATACTTTAAAACATCTCTAGATTACTTATAATATCTAATACAATATAAATGCTATGTAAATATTTGTTGTATTGTTTTGGGCATAATGGCAAGAAAAAAGTTTGTATATATTCACTATTGATGCAACAATTCATTTTAAGGAGGGTTGAAAAATTCTTTATATTAAAGAAAAGAAAAACAGAACAAATTTTTAATAAATTATAAATGCTGTGGCTTAATGATTCATTTAAAACAAGTCTTTATTTTAAAGATGCAGGGTATAATTCAGGGTTAGGTATACAAATGGTCATTGTACAGGTAAAGTTTGGGACTTACTTTGCTCTCCAGGTCACCTGGTTTGAGACCAGGTACCCTTGTTGATGAAGTGTGCCCCCTTCCATTCCCTGGCAGTTTCCTGCTGCTGCCAATCCCTTTCTTACAGTATTATGATAATTGTTCTGGTCTGCTTATGAGTGAGAACATGTGAACATGTGGTACTCAGTTCTCTGTTTCTGTGATAGATCGCTGAGTATTACAGACCCTAAATCCATCTAAGTTGCTGCGAAGTTCATAATTTTGTCCTTCCTTAAGGCTGCTTAATATTTCATCGTGTATATGTACCACATTTTTTTTATCCAGTCTACTTTTGACGGGCAGTATGGTTGATTTCATGTTTTTGCTATTGTGAATAGTGATGCAATAAACATGTGTGCACAGGTATCTTTTTTATAGAGTGACTTGAGTTCTTCCAGGTATAGTCCTAGAAGGGGGATTGCTGGGTCATGGGGGAGGTCGATTTTTAGATCTCTTAGGAAATCGCCACACTGTTTTCCACAGAGGTTGTATTAGTTTACACTCCCACCAACAGTGCATCATCCTCTCTAGCATCTTAACAATTCGTTTTTTAAAAATATTTTCAACCTGTGGTTGATTGACTCCATGGATGTAGAACCCACAGATACAGAAGGCCGACTCTAATATAAAATATGATATTATAAGATATAACTATTTTAATGAAATATTAAAATACAAAAATAATAAAAACATAAAGTTCTAATAGTTTTTCCTGCATCCAAATGGATTCTGTATCTACAGATAGAAATAAAAGGAATGCTAATATGTATTACGTGTCTTCATCTGAACCCTTACGTAGGTTTAGTCCTTACACTAACTCTGCATGGAAAGGAATACTTTGCTTTTTTTATTTTTTGTTTTTTTAGTCAGAGTCTCACTCTATTGCCCAGGCTAGAGTGCAGTGGCATGCTCACGGCCACCCTGCATCGACCTGCTGGGCTCAGGCAATCCTTCAGCCTCAGCCTTCCAAGTAGCTGGAACTACATGCATGCACTACCATGCCTGGCTAATTCTTTGATATATTGTAGAGACGAGGTCTCACCAAGTTGCCCAGACTGGTCTCGAACCCTTGAGTTCAGGCAATCCTCTTGCCTCAGCCTCCCAGAGTACTGGGATTACAGGCTTGAGCCACCATGCCCGGCCGCTTTTTTTATTTTTTAAGATGCAATCTCGCTATGTTGCTTATGCTGGTCTTGAATTCTTGGGCTCAAGTAATCCTCCCAACTCAGCCTCTCAAAGTGCTGGGATTATAGGCATGAGCCACCATGGCCAATTTACTTCACTTTTTTACTGTCACTATCTTCACTTTACAGTTGTATACCCCTCGAGGTGTTATTACCCCCACGCTAGGAAATAATGATTCAGTTAACTCCCTCATAACAGGGATTGGGAGTTGACAGATTTTTCCAGTAATGGTTGTGTGGTAAATATTTTGGGTTTTATAGGCCATATGGTCTCTGTTGCAAATATTCAACTCTGTTGTTGCAGGGGGAAAGCAACCACAGACAATATGTAAACCAGAATGCATGGCTGTGTCCCAATAAAACTTTATTTGTAGATTTGGTCTGGAAGCCAGCTTGCTGACCCCTGATACAGATGCTCAAGCTGAGGCCCAGAGGGGCAGTCCCTGCCGGAGTCTTGGAACTCAGGCCTTGAATGGTGAGCTCTTTGTGGGGGGCATGCGTGGATCTTCTACTAATGGATCTTCCTCCAGGCACACTGCTCCCCTCTTTGATTTCAAAGGAATAAGTAGGATTGTTTGTCTTCATGACTTCTGTCCTTCCCCAGAGGTCCAGACTGGAGTTACAAAACGAGAGCTGTTAAGTTTAGTGCACAGCCAAGGGACCGAGCTGCTGTGACCTGCCTGGAGGGGCGGAACTAGGACAGCTTATCTTCTTGAAACCCAAAACGTCCTGTTCCTTCAATGGCAGCTCAAGTCACCAGTAGAGTTAGTGGACTGAAAGGTGTTGTTCTTTGTTGCCATTGCCCTGGCCAGTACAGTCTCATCACTCTCCTGAAGATGTGGACATCTTAATTCAAAAGTTATTTTGGCTGAGGGAGGGAAAGTAAGTTGTGTTTGTGCTGCTACTAATAACAATATTTATATTTTTCCTAAGGGTTGAGGTATTTAGCAGACTTGGTCAAATACAGACACGGATCTTTCGTGAGAGAAGGAGGGACTCTTCATTTCTGGGGAAGGTGGCAGGATTTAAGCACTAGGGTTGGTGCCCTGGGGACTGGGCCCTATCAAGTCTGTTCCCTTTCTTCTCCTGCTCCTCTTCTCCTTGGTGGTGTGGGTTTGGATTCTACTGGAAGTGAGTGTCTCACTTCAGATGGCTCCCGGCTCAGGCACACCTCCTGCTAAGTGAGTACTCACTAGGGCCTGTCCACACAACTCCACCGAGATCCAGCCACCACCAAAGACAGAGAACATAGGCCAGGCTTGGCAGCCCATTGGAATGAAATGTCCTAGTCTTCTGAATAGATTATTTTAATGTTATGGAATGACTGGATGTTGATTAGATGGAATCTCAGAGATGAGCTGTCCTAACCCTTTTTGTCGTAGCTGAGTCACTTGTCCAAAGCCACACCACCTGGCTGGGACCCCGGGCTCAGGCCATGGCTCCCTCTACAGCTCCAGGCTTTACACTGAGGGCACTCCATCTGTTTTCTAGAATCACTTGGACTGCGTTAGGCTTTTGTGACCCCTTCTCCCAGGAAATATTCTGGGAAAATAGTTCCTCTCCTGGTGCTATTGCTGGTATCATTCTAAGTTTGGCCTGGGCTCATTCTAGGCTAGAATGAATTACCTGAATTGTATCAGCCGTAGCATGCTCTTGGGGGCCTCAGGACTGTGGCCCATAGCCTTGAAGGCCCTTTGACCCCTAGATTCTGAGTCTGGGGCCAGCATAAGCTCCAGCTCAAATGTATTCGTGACCAAATAATACACCCTGGGCCCCTGCTGTCTTGGAGAGGATGTAGGGAGCAGTCGGTCCCCGAGGGTCCTCCTGGAAGAAGCACCAAGTGTACCAGGTCCTAGTCTGACAGCACTTAGGGATGTGATAGTAAATTTCCGTCATGGAGCCAGAGATTGGAGACTGTGGGAATACATCAGAATCCATGCCTATGTCCCAAGGTGGCTCTGATCTCCAATTGTCTTCCCTTGCAGGAGAATCATGCAACTGACTTTGGAATATGTTATTAGACTTCAGTTTCAACGTGGGCTTGTCTGATGCCCGAGAGTTCCTTCCTCATGAAACAGTGATGCCTCCCCAACCCAGGGCATCTCAGACATTGTTTCTTTATCCTGGCCCAGGCTACCTCTGCACCCTGAAAATCCATACAGCAGGCTCTGCCAGAGACTAAAGACACATGTGTCACTGTCCCAAGGGAACAGGGGCAGTGACGGAAATATTAGGCCACAAAAGGCATGCCTGCCATCATGTGAGGTTAACACACAAAGCCAGATGCCAATAAAATGCTAATTAGGTGGAATGGGAGCGGTCATGTTCTGAGACAAGACTGTTTAAATAAACAAGTCCCTGTAGGCACAATCTGCTGGGGACAATAGCTTATGCTGAGCTAGTAAACTGCCCTCCTAAAAGCCTCCAACACACACACACACACACACACACACACACACACACACACTACTCTTCCCTTTCCATTTATTTTCTTTTCTTTCTTTATTTCTTTTCCTTGCTTTTTTTCTTTCTTTTCTTCTTCCTTTTTTTTTTTTTTTTTGAGACAGGGTTTCACTCCATTGCCTGAGCTAGCTGGAGTGCAGTGGCACAATCTCAGCTTACCACAGCCTCAAGTTCTTGGGCTCAAGTGATCCTTCTGCCTCAGCCTCCCAAGTAGCTGGGACTACAGGTGTGTGCCACCACCTCTGGCTAATTTTTTTTATTTTTTTATAGAGACAAAGTCTCAATATATTGCCTAAGTAATCCTGACCTCAACTAATCCTCTTGCCTCAGCCTCCCAAAGTGCTGGGATTACGAGTGTAAGTCACTACATTTGACTTTCCATTTCTTTCTAAATGTTTCCATGAGCTTCTTCAGATCCACGCTCTGAATTCTAGGATGAATTCAAGGGTAGGTTTGTACTATTGAAGCAAAGGGAAATTCAAGCACACCTGAGAAGCTGTCTCATTGTTGGGAAAGCAACCTCACAGATCATTCAAACCAATCACCAGGGACCGTTGACCATCCTCATGTTCCTTTTGCCAACCTCTGTTTTGTTATCACAGGAAAAAAAATGTCTTGACCGCACTAATGTGTCAAAGCAACCTGCAGCCCGACCTGGTAAATCTCCTTTTGGATTCACTCAATGTACCACCTATTAGGCTGGTGAGGGACAGAACCTGCCCTTCTGGTGCTCTTGGCTCCTGGCTGCTCCTGCCAACAGCCTGTCCTTCAGGAGTTCCCAGGGACCCCAGTCTAGCCCTCGGGTCGCATCCTCACAGCTGGGCCGAGGATGCATCTGAGAGTTGGCCGGGCACCTCTTTCTAGCAGCATCGAGGATGGTACTTGGCACGGTGTGGCGCTGGCTGGTCGCCACTGCCTGTTTAGGTAGAAGCAGCTCAGCCTGGTGTCCATGCGTACACCCGCAGTGTGCCGCCCTGTGGACCCCTGGGCATGAACCCCGTGCCACCCACCTCTAGAGTGACCCCTCAGGGAGCGACCCAGACATGCCAAGGAGACCCACAGGCAAGTCCAGAGGTGCCTGTTCCACTAGGACTTTGCAAGCCTCTGTGATTTGAGTTAGAGCTTCTTGTGAGTGACTTGATTGAGCTGACACGGTCTATCTTCAGATAAGCAGAGAGGATGGTGAGGAAAGCTTGTACGTACCTTCCCCTCACCAAAGGGGGCCTACAGTGTGGTCAGCCACAGTGCAAGTCTTTTGGCTCTGCTAATTCAAGAGGGCTGAGTCTGATCAACCTTTGTGGGGAAGATTAACAAGGGAATCCTTGGCAACCATGAGAAACAGCTCTTATAACTCACGAGAGTGGCTCTGTCTTCACAGGGCATGACCTGTTTTGTTTACTAAGGAAACTTCTGGCTCATTTTCTTCCAGGCAGGGTAAAATTCAATCATCCTATTCCCTTCCCAAATTTTAGCCCTGGGAGATGCATTCCTCAGGTTCCCACTTTTCAAAGGGGAAAATATGTGTGAAGCCTAACTCCTAAATACAAGGGGGACCCACCAAAACCCGGAATTTATTTACTAAAGAATTGTGTATTTATTTTACATGTTTGAACTGCAGTTACTGTCAAAGTACTCTCCGTTTGATGCAAGACACCTATCAAGACACTTTTTCTACTGCTCAAGACTGTTTTGGGACTTGTCGATTTTGATGCCTTTTCGTGCTTCTGCCATTTTTTTTCTCACCTCTCCCACATCTGCAAAATGCTTCCCTTTGAGGACTTTTCTCATTGGGGGAAACAAAGAAAAGTCCCTCGGGGCGAGATAAGGCGAATAGGGAGGGTGGGGTATAAGGGTCATGCCATTTTTGGCCATAAACTGCTGAACACTCAGAGTGGTGTGGGCAGGTACGCACATAAATCACCCACTATGAAATGGGTAGATGCACTGACAGAATCTCAAAAAAAAAAAAAAAAAAATCACTGAAGCTGAATGCAGCTTCTTACAACACTAGCTGGTACACTGGTGCAGATGGGTTCCTAGAACACTTAGTTCAGGCTTCCCCTTGTAGTCCAGGGGAAGCCAGGACTACAAGGGGCCTGCCCTCCAAAAGATAATTCTGGTTTTAGGCCCTCTGCCCCTGTAAGTGCTACTTTATCTGTTCATGTGGTGCTCTTGTTGATCGCTTGGTTGCAACTGTACCTGAATTCAGGTCTTTGTGTTTCGGGATCTTAGAAGACTGTAGTCGGCACGTCAAACTTGAAGGCATTGTTCTTTAGTTATCTGAGTGTTATAATTGAACGGCGCAGCATCTATTAATAATACTTTAGTAAATCCATTAGTATTCTAGGAAGCTTCGATTCACTGACCTACCTCTAATGTAAGCAAATGCTGCCAGAGAGTTGCTAACAATAACTCCATCTTTCCTCAGAACTCTTGATCCACTTGGGTCGAAGTTTATACCTGTTTCATAAAAAATGCAAGACCAATTAACCACAGCTGTTCACAGTATGCCTGTCCTAAGAGACCCCTGCAGCTCTACCCTGGGACTGCCACAATAATTAAAATTCATAGAAATCAAACGGGGCCCCTGACTAAATCATGGAAGACTAAGCCAGGAAGAACACTTAGTAAGCAGTCCCTGAAATTATTAAATTCTAAAAGGGATTAGAAGTTTTAAAACATGTTGGTTCCAACTTTAGGTGCCACTCAACCACTCCACCACAGAAGGGAACAAATGTATTTTCCCATCCTGAAGGCAGTGACAGTCATGCCTCTCAGAGGCTTAATAATGTCTCACTTTAACCACGAAGCTGCTGTCCGCTCTGTTGGCTAGATATAAGAAAAACCTCAAATTACAGAGGGAGGTTGTGTTAGGTTGCTTTTAATAATGTTTTCATTTTAATATTTTTGGAGATGGGGGGTCTCACTATGTTGCCCAGGCTGATCTTGAACTCCTGGCCTCAAGTGATCCTTCCGTCTCGGCCTTCCCAAAGTGCTGGGATTACAGGCGTGAGCCACTGTGCCCAGCTGGGGCTGTTTTTGAGAAATGACAGCAAACTGTGGTACAGATCTGTTTTCAGATCCTGGTTATACTACTGGGCTGGAACTCAGTGAGTCTCTGATAGGACAGCCTAGAGGACCAGGGGACTCCTAGCAATGTCAGATAAGACAGAAGCCTCTGAGGAAAGATGGCACAGAGCTCTCAGGCCCTCACTGCAGTGGGCCAGGCTGTTCATGGGATCGAGTGGGAGCCCTGTTAGAAAGAGAAGTAGACTGAGAGAGGCTAAGTGCAGAAGAAAGCTGAGGTGACCAGCTAGAAGAACACAGAAGAGCTATCTCTAAGCTTTGGACAAAGGTGCTTTCTATTTCTTGGTGTACTCCTGTGTTTTCCATATCAAGCATACTTTAACCTTTATACTCAGGGGGGAAAGACCTAGTAAATATAATAACAGGACAAAACTCTCACCACCCAAAGCTGAATATTTTAGATGCTCTATTGAGTCTCAGCAGTTTCTATCAGGAATCCCATGAGTCTGGATTCCATAGTAGGATTAATCAGAAAACCAAAATGCTCGTCCTTGCTATTTATCAAGTCAAGTGAAAAATAAGGAGGAAGAGGATGCTATGAAGGCCTGAAAGCCCAAGCTGGCTCTGACCCACCTAGGTTCCACTGGGATCAATTTTGCAAATAGTTCATTGTATAACCCAGGAAATATGAATGCAACAAATCCACATTCATTTATGAGCAGTTCTGTTTTTTTGAAACGATTTTTCCTTTTGGACACTAGAGGAGAACAGAGGGGAGGTTTTTCCTACTTCTGATCTAAAAAAAATCAAAACTAAACAAAATGGTAGCCACCATTTGCAACCATCAGCCTCAGTGCTATTGTCCCCAGGTCTAAACACACCTCCTGACAGCCCCCGTTATTCTCACCAAGATGTGCCCAACTGTGGTGATGCAGGGGTTGTTTACCTTTACTTAAAGAGAAATGCTGGTAGTAAGCCATAAAAATTACCATATTCACCATTTTTCTGCTTCAAAGAAGGTTTTAGATTAGCAATGGCTGGATCAATCGCTGTGAGTATGTTCTTGGGAACTAAAAGCCAAAAAGAAATATTTTAAATACTTGGTATATTGACAAAAAAAAAATGCATGCATACTTAATGTATCTTTAAAGTGCAATGTAGATAAGATTAAAAAATCACTTCCAAGTCAGCCCAAGAATTACTCACTCTTCCTCTTATATGTACATGCACGCACACAACCCACTGGTACCTGTGTCTTATATGTACATGCACGCACACAACCCACTGGTAACAGATGTCCCAGAAAGGTGAGATTTTAGACCCATTTGCAATATTAAAAAAAAAAAAACATTGAAAATAGATAAACAATTTATGGTATATCCACCCAACAGAATACAATTTAGTAATGACAAGGAATGAAGTACTGACAAATGCTTCAACATACATGAATCTTAAAAACATGCTCAGCCGGGCTCGGTGGCTCAGCCTGTAATCCCACACTTTGGGAGGCTGAGGTGAGTGGACTGCCTGAGCCCGCGGGTTCGAGACCCACCTGGG